ACATCTAAATGCGTAAATTGTAAATAGTTGTAGTAGTCTTTAAAAAATAGGTAAATACAGTTTTGGACTCATTAATGTAAATTACTTTTTTTTTTGTAGCCAAAAATGGCTCCCCAAACATCTGTAGTAAAGAAAGAGCCCAGTTCATTAGAGTCAGCAAGTTCATCACCAAATTTAACACAAGGCAAAGCAGATGTTGACATTAAGATGAATGGTAAGTATATTTTTATAATTAAAAAAAACAATAATCACTAGAGCACACTCCAAAAGTGTATACTTCCACCCACATCATTATTCCTCCCTCTATAAAATTCCTACGCATCTTTTTCCATACAAACTCATCAAATGCATTGCACCATGGGTCATAGATTTTTTTTAAACAATTTTCACATGTTATATATTCATGAAAAATGAAAAACCTGAAATTTTAAGACTCTTGTTTATTTTCCGAACGGCAGTTGGAAGTTAAGGAGGTGTGACCCAAAATAATGTGCTATGAAATGAACATTGATTTTTATATGCTAATATTTCGGAAATACTGTACAACCCCTATAAACCCTGCAATTTGATGTTAAAGAACTTTTAACTGCTTCTAAATCAGAAAAGTTGTTAGCATGTACCAATTAGAAATTGCGAAGGTAAGAAAATTGGACGAAAAACCAGTCTGGACCATTATTCGGGAGGCTATAACACAAAAAATAAGACTTTATTAACCTTCAAAATTTTGAGGAATCATAGCCCACCATTAGTGCTCCCCCATATGTACAGCTGTCTCTTATACACATCTAGATGTGTATAAGAGACAGCCCCCGGACTGCATCCCCCCCTATGATAATTTTCCCCGGAATTTTGCACCCCCACCCTTTACATCTCATAATTTCAATTATACATTTTAATTATAATACATTTTAATTTTTTATTTTACTTAATTTTAGGAAAGTAGGTTGTTCCTACGATATTCATTAGTGCAATGACATAGCATGACTGATCGCAAGAACTAATTTTTTGCCCATGCAGTGTTTTTATTTATTTATTTTTTTTTACCGGTTTCAGTCTAAAAATATTCTTATTTCATTCATATTTTCACACACTTTCCAAACATACAAAATTATTATTTCACAGCAGTAATTACGGTACTCTATTATAGGGTATTACAATGAAATAAAAGTTTGTTATGTACCACTGAACTGAAAGCCTATTCCTCTCCATGTATTACATAGTCACTTTATTCCTTCGCAGTCACACTGCAGATAAGGATAAGATTTGTTGGTTTTCTATTTTTTTAAAATAAAAACCTCATTTGAAATTTTACCTCAGCCTCAATTTGTTCTTATTTTGTTCTTAATTTTTAAGCAATTTCAGCCTCAGTATTATAAAATGTGTTTTTATAAAAAAAAAAAAAGTGTAATAGTAATAGCTTAATGGCTTAATGTATGTAATTCATATTGTTTTTTTATGTTTTGTATAATTGTTATAATCCATGTCTTCAATAGCGTTATATCATAATTTAATGACAATAATGAAAATAATAATAATAATAATAATAATGACAAAAAATGTAATAACTATAAAGAGCAAATGTAATAACCTTGTATATTTTGTATGGATAATAATTTAATGGTAACAACAATAATAAGAATAAAAAATGAATAACAATAACGAGCAAATGTAATTACCTTGTCTATTCTGTATGGATAATAATTTATTGATAATAACATTAAGAATTAAAAAAAAATCATTAAAAAAAATCTAATAACTATAAATAGCAAATGTAATACACTTTATTCTGTATGGATAATAATTGAATGATAATCATTACAATAATAAGAATAACAATTCAATAGTTATAAAGAGGAAATGTAATAACCTTGTCTATTCAATATGGATAACATTATTAAATAAGTTGAAATAAATAATCGAAATAAATAAAAAAATATATATATAATAAAATAAAATAATAAAATAAAATAATAAAAAATAATAATAAATAATAATAATAATAAAATAATAAAATAAAATAATAATAAAATAATAAAATAAATAATCGAAATCGATATTATAAATAATAATTGACCTTTCCGTTAAGCTCCGCCCCTTGAATATTGTTGCCGTAACTATAAATATCAAATATAATACACTTGTTTATTCTGTATGTTTTTACTTTCAGTACTGTATTCATTTCTTATATTAGATACTTTGCTGACTACATTACTTAGTATAAATATTTTCCATGTTAAATATTGTTGTTACATGTGCAATTGATTTAAAAAAGATTTAATATAAAAGAACGATAAATATTAATGTATTCCTTGTATTTTAATTCTTATTTTATTTAACCAGGGAAAAGTTAAATTAACGCATGATGTAAAAAAAAAGTGGGGGGGGGGGGGAGGCC